TGCTGAGCGTGCTTGGGGGCGCCCGCCACCCCGCCGTGGCTCGCGTGGGAGGGCTTAGATCCCGGCCTTCCTTCTGCACAGCGCACCTTGTCCCGCCGGGAGGAAAGTTCGTCCGGGAGACTAACCTTCAGCGGCCCGCCCTGAAGTCCGGAAGCTGGGCGCATCGGCCCCCCAAATCGGGGTCACAAAGGCTTGCTCCCCTGACTCATGCAGAGTAACGGAGGGCATTCACGACCCACCACACGGACCCAACCTCACAGCCTCCTAGCCTGACCTCCTGGGACCCGAAGGTGGGTCTGGGGTGCCCAAGGGGCCCCCCACCCCAAGGCTCAGGGCTCACTTCTCTGCTGCTGCCAGGACTTGCTTGCAGCCGGGCCATACCTACCTGGTGGCATCCTGTGAATGGGGCTTCTGAGGACTGACTCAGGGCCACAGTGGCCACAGTGGCCACAGGGCCCTTACGGTGACTGGCCCTGGGCCAGGAAACAGCCTTCCTAAGGGAGTGGGGGCCAGAGCCCCTGGTCCTGTTTAGCTTTCCTCCTCCGTGGCCTGATCACTGCTGCGTGGCCCTCCCCGCTAAGCCTCGGAAGTTGGGGAGACTCCACCACGCCTGCGGAATGCTGCTCTGGCATGGATGCCCATGGGGGCAGGGGCTGGCCGAGCTGGCAGGAGGCTGCCGAGGAACACTGCCAGGATAGGCAAGCAGCAGGGTGGGGACCAGGAGGCTCAGGACCTGCTAGGGCCACATTGTGGAGCTGGGAGGTAGGGGAGGGTGGTGGGGGTGCTTCTGTGAACCTCTCAGATGCCCTTCTGCTTCCAAACCCCGATGATGGGTGCTCCCCACTAATGCTGGCTGCCTCCTCCCCATCTTGGCAGGACCATATAGAACCTGTGTTCACCCTTCCTTGTACACATGCCCGTGTGTGTTGACAGGGAGGGGCAGGCCCAGCTATACCACTGTCACCCATGAGTGAGCAGGAACTTGGGACCAGGGAGAAAACGTCTCACGGGGACAGAGATGGGGGTGAGCAGAGAGTGCCAAGAAGCAGAAGGAATGTGCACAAGTAGAGTGGAGACCCGGTGGACAAAGAAGCCGGGGCCAGTGAAGAAGGGGTACAGGAAGGGCATGGCCAGGCCCAAGTGAGGAGTGGAGAGCGGGGGCAGCTCCTGTGGGCCTTCTGTACCTGTGCGGTGCACAGATGTCCGCCTCGTGTTTATAGAAACAAGGCCACAGCTAGCCCGTGTGCTTCTGGCCAGCCAGTCACCTTGGGCAGGGCTGACCTCTGTTTCTCCCTCCCTCCCTGTCAACCCACTTCTTAATCTGACTGCACCAGCCAGGGGGGGTGGCAGGGGAGGCAGTGTGTCCCCACTGGTCAGATAAGGACACTGAGCATCAGAGAGGAACAGGCCACAGAGCCAGGCACCAGGGTCAGGAGAAGCTGGGAGGAGCCTGGCAGCTGGAAGACACTTCCAGACCAGGCTTGGCAGAGGGTGTGGCCAGCCTAACCCAGGTGGGGATGCTGGCCTTAGCTGCAAGCCAGTTGTGTGTGTGTGTGTGTGTGTGGTGGTGGTGGTGGGGTGCATCTCAGCCTCCCGTTGCTTCTCTGCCCTGTACCCTGCCTGCTGAAGGGGTTGGAGTAGGGGTGCTGGGCTCTGTGGGAGGCTGTTGGCCGCTGGTCACCTGGGTTACTAGACCTGGCAAGGAGGAGCCCTTTGAAGAGTTTCATCTGCTTGCACAGGGCTGCTCAGAGCTGGGGTCTCCTTGTTGAGTCAGTGTGAACTGGAGCTTAGAGGGTGAGGACAGCAAGTCTTGCGGCCTCTGCAAGGCTGGGGGGCAGGGCTGTTTGGCACTTGCAAGGAACTGGCAGCCTTGGGTGTCCTGGCATCCTGATGGGAGAGGCTGGGCAGAGAGAGGTGGTCCTGTCTGGGCTTTGGGAGGGAGCTGGGAAGTGCACTGCCTGGACCCCTTCGCCAACCTGGGTGTTGGTCCTCAAGCTGGGCCAGCACAGAAGGGGAACCCCAGCACAGATCAGCTGGGCCAGCAGAGGGGAACCACAGTTGGCGTAGACTTCCTGGAGGGGAGGAGGGTGGGTCTGGTTTGGGAGTCTGGGGTGCTCAGGTGAGCCTGTGCCTTGGCAGGAGTTTCAGTAATAGGATTTGGGGCAGGGGGAGGGAGGGAGGCCTAGAAAGCTTCAATGCCCCTGCCTCTTGTCAGCCCAGCTCACGGGTCTCCTTGCCACCTTACCTCCCTCTGTCGTGGGCCCCAAGCATCTGCCCCATGACAGGGAGGAGCCAAAATTCAGACTGTGCCAGGGAGTCCCGGGGAGGACTTGGGAAAAATATCCTGGGCCCTGTGTCTCGGGATGTGCGGGTGGGGGTGGGGGCAGTTCCAGGCTCAGCCCGGGGGCGTGTTGCAGCTGTGCATAGCTGAGAGGGAAGGGGGGGTGGGCAGAATGGGCAGCTCGGAGAACAGAGGGTGCCCCTGACTCACATTGTGGGGTCGTGGGGGTGGCAGGGTTCAAGTTAGACCACTGTGCTGACACAGAGCCCTCCTGTAGCAGGGGTTGGGAGGGAGCTGGGTTGGCTGGGTGTGGCGTTCAGGGGTCGTATGTGTGTGTGTGTGTGGGGGGGGGTTGTTCCTTCTTTGGGCTTAGCTGAGCCCTGCACTAATAGGATGCAGCTGCCTGGGGGTGGGGCCCTAATGCAAACCAGAGGCTGCCCTGTTCCCTCATGCAGTGTAGGCCTTGGCAAGTCCAGGCTCCTTGGCAGCTGCCAGGCATCTCTCCCGCTGATTGGTTCCAGGGCCCTCGGGCCTCTCACTAGGGATCCTGGCCCTTCACAGCAACCTCCATGGGACTCCTCCCCGCTGTGTGTGGGGGCAGGTCCTGGTGCCACTTGGACCTGTGCTGGGATCTAAGCACTTAGTCCTCACCCACAGTCCTAGGATGGAAGAGTGGCTCATATTCGAGTTTTCCGGATGAGAAGCTGAATTCCAGGGAGCTCACGCAATGTATCAAGGCTGCTCAGCTAGGAAATGCTGGGGCAGGCCTTGAACTCCTGCCCTCCACTACAGAGTGGTTACTTTGAGAGTCAGATTAAGCCAGGGGCATTGCCCGGGTCAGTCCACTTGGGGTTTCTCTGGGGATCAGCCTGTTGAGATGCTGGCTCCTGGGAGGTGCTGGGTGAGGGGGAGACACTGTGAAGGGCCAACCCAGGCCCTCTGGTGTGGGCAGGGGATGAGCACCATGGTGGCTCTGCCAGCCTGTACCAGTGTCAGGGTAGAGCAAAGGTGGCCAGCCAACGGCCATTTGCTCCTATGAGTCAGAGGCCCAGGGGTTTGGTCTCAGGTCACAGCATGCAGGTGCTTGTTCATAGACACCAGATCAGTGCTGTGGGCCTGTGGAGAAGCAGCACTTGCGGGCCACCTGAGCCGCTGCTCAGTCTGTGGGGCTGGAGCTGCAGCTGGAGTTCCCACAGACGGCACAGGCTCTCCGAGGCAGCTGTGCTTGCCCTCTGCTTCCAGCTTAGCACGCCATGAGCTCTTCACACAGCCTCCCCCTCCCCCGTGGGCTCTCCTTGCCCCGTCTTCATCAGGCATTGGCGGGAGCTTCCCATGCCATCCCTGAGCTTCCCATACCATCCAGAGGCGGGCTGCTTTAGGGGTACCCTGACACCTCCCAACTGCCTGGAGGCTGTGTTGCCTTTATAGCATCACACTCAACTCAAGGGAGACCCTTGTGGCCTTGGGGCCCTCACCGCTCACTACTGTGGCCGCAGATTCCCTTTCAAAGACCAGAGCCCTGTAAACCTGACTTGAACAGTTGATCAACTTTGGTCAGTTGATCCCTGATGTGGGCTGAACTTGATCTGGTGATCACCGTTTTCTGTACTTTTGTTCATAATAGAGTGTATCTCAGAGGTGTACGTCATCGGGGGTCACCCTCTTGAAGTTATTTGTTGTTCTGTGTTTCGGTGTGAGACCCAGGATTGATGAACCTACAGGGACAAGTAGAATAAGGGTTTGTTGGGGGCAGACGAGGTCAAGGAGTCCGAGTCCAGGAAGAAAAAGAATGTTTGGAAACTGACTGTGGTAACTGTAGACTTCTGCTTGATGGGATTGAACTATGGAGTAATGTATTAACTCCCCATTCATCTTTTATTTAAATAATTTTATCGGGGTCTCATCCAGCTCTTAACACAATCCATACAGACATCCATTGTATAGAACACATTTGTACATCCGTTGCCATCATTGTTCTGAAAACATCTGCTCTCCAAGGAAGCCCCCGGCACCAGCTCATATTCCCCTCTCGACTCCCCCCTCCCTCATAGACCCTTGATAATTTACAAATTGTTTTGTCATAGCTAACACGGTCTGAGATCTCCCTTCACCCACTTTTCTGTTGTCCGTCCCCCAGGCAGGAGGTCACATAGAGATCCTTGTAATCGGTTCCCTTTCCAAGCCACTCCCCCTCTACACTCCCAGTTATCACCACTCACACCACTGGTCCTGAAGGGATCATCCGCCCTGGATTCCCTGTGTTTTCAGTTGCTATCTGTACCAGTGTACATCCTCTGGTCTAGCCAGATTTATAAGGTAGAATTGGGATCGTGATAGTGGGGCGGGAGGGGGGGTGGAGGAAGCATTCAGGAATTAAGAGAAAAGCTGTTGCTTTTCTTGTTGCTACATTGCACCCTGGCCCTTAATCTTAAAAGCAAAGAGCTCTCTGGCAATCTGCCTGCCTAGTTCTTTCCGACCTCACCTGGCCTCCCCTCTCAAGGTTACACTCACCAGGGGGCTTCTTGCTCACAGCGAGCCCCCCACCCCCCAATTCTATGACATGATCAATGGCTGGTGAATTCCCAACAGGAATGTGTGCTTACCACACACGTGCAGCAGTGGGCCCAGGACCCTTGTCAGAGGGCTTCTCCCAGTGCTCAGGCGCTGCTGCATTTTCTCTATCTTCCAGAGCAACGCACCCCAACTGGTCGGGCAAGTCTCAGTTTCCCAGCTTGGAGGTGCACTGTTGGCTTAGAAAACTGACCATCTCCAACAGTAACCATGGGAAGTTTGGTTGCACGCCCGAAATACAAATTCCTTTGAGTTGTGAGAAAACGATAGCTCATTGTACTTACCCTGCATGGAGTATGGGATCCTGGAGGGGAGAGTGGAGGCTGAAAGTGGTTCAGCAGGTAAAGGACCTGCCCTGAGGCACACCTACAGAGGAGACAGGGCATGCTCGCTGTCCAGCAAAGCTCTCCATGCAGGTCGCCTCAGCTTGGTGAAGGCACTATAACCTGGGAGGCAGTGGGTGTTTCCAGGAGAGAGGATTGAGCTAGGCGTAGGTGATCCTCTGGCTCCACATCCTTCCTGCCCCAACACCCCAGGGAACAACAAAGGGGGCTGCAGAGAGTAGGAGCCCCTTCCCTGGCTGGGCCGGCAGGGAGCCTCAGCATTTCCTTCTGTTTCTGAAAGGCTAGTGTCTGGGTGGGTAAAGGGATCAGACATGCACAGACTCAGGGCTTAGACCAAGTATATATTTTAATCTCTACAAGTTCCCCCCTTCCAACTTGTGGGCAGACTAATTGGCGTGTATACAAATTAGACATTGGCAGTATGTACAAAAGTCTTTTCTACAGTTTTGAACACAACCAGCTGTCATTTTCCATTTGCAATAGACAGGACATTACAAAAGTAGCCCAAGAATGTACTTTCTATTAAGCACAATACACACATAATTCAGCCTTATTAAAAATAATTTCAAAATACAGGAACCATCCACTTTAGGAAGAAAAGTGCTCTCTGTAGTTCACGTCGGTAAACACACAGTGGCGTGCTGCGGCCAGGACTGTCCTGTTCCACAGAGACGACAGGAGAGGCGTTGGCAGCCCCGTTCAGGCCACAGTGACCGCCCGGAGCCGAGACAGGCAGGGTCACTGCTTGAAGGAGACAGAATTCACAAATGTACCCCTTTGCAGTTCCACCCACGCGTGCCTGGAGCCCGCGAAGGCTGAGGAGACAGCAATCCTGTGACCGAGATCACACTGTTACACGGCTCGCAGCAGACCTTAAAGTTAGGGTTTGGGGGTGGGTTTGATCTAACCCCATGAGCCCATAAAATAGAAAGTAGAAAATTTCCAGAAGTGTGAGAACAAGAAGGGCTTGACCGGCCACCAGTGTCTTGCAGACGGAGGACCAGGAGGGAAGGAAAGCGGGCGGCCTCGAGGACCTGAGCAAAGCCCCCAGCCGACAGCCAGGAAGGACTGGGACCTCAGTCCTGCAGCCTCCGGAAACGGAGCTCTGCCAGTACCGAGTGAGCACACACGCAGATTCTGCCCTTGAGCCTCTCCGCAAGGAATGCTGCCATGGCTGCAGCCTGGTGAGACCCTCCCCAGCAGAAAATCAGCCAGAACGGGGCTTACTTTTAAAAGTTTGTAAGTTGCTAAGTATGAACCTTTGTTACACAGCAACAGGAAACTAACACGCTGCCCATGGGTGGGTAACTTTTCTTAACCTAGCTAAACATGGCACTTTCTGTTGGGTTCTGAATGAGTTCCCCCCAGTGTGAGTGAACACAGTGTTCTCCTTCGCAGGTAACTTTGAAACCTTGCAGAGGAATCACACATTGCATTCTGTTTGATTGTACTGTTTACTGATGTCCTGTTTTCTAAAGTAGTTTTGCTTATCAACTGGGTTCAACCCTGTTAATGTGTACTTCTCATGGATGATGGCGGCTTCTGTACATTCCAAACCACCTCTTCATCCACGAAGGATATGCGTCCAATGCCCCCACCAGAGGGCGCCTTCCCACTTCCCCAGCACACAGGCAGGGCCTGAGGTAGGACAGCACCGAATTCCACACCAAACAGCCTTATGGATTTCTTTAGTGTAAATGGATTCAAACTGGCACTAAGGTGATTAAGTACACTTGGGGGTACAATCAAATCAAAGATTAAAATAATGAAACAAGTCTTTATAGCTCAAATTGCTTTTAGAGGAACCGCCCAAAGCGTTGCAAACACAAGTCATCTTACCCGTGGTGCCCTGTGCCGTCAGGGTCAGGCTTCGTGGTGCCAGGTTGGGTTGGCGAAGGGGCCGCTAGCGGCATGCTGGTGCTCAGAACATCCCAACTGTGGTGGTGGAATGTCCCTGACTGGAAAGGCTGAAAACCCGATGGATGTCCCCAGGATGGTGGTAGTGAAAACTTGGATGTCACTTCTTAAGTGCGTTCCTCAAATTGACGCTGGTGTCCGTCCTGCCTGCTCCAGGGAATCCCACCCACATCTGTGCTGGGGAGAAGCTCCCCCAGTCTCCAAAGTGAAGACAACTCAGAAGGGAGCATATTCTCTAGTAGGGAAGGAGAACATTTCGCTTCTCTCTCTTGTGGGATTCTAACGGATAAGCTCTAAGAACAAGGCTTAAAGAGGCACCGTGAGGTACCAAGCACCAAAGCATGAATGGGAATCAGATGGTTTTTTACAAACTGAAACTTCTGACACTATTAAGTAAGCACATAAACGTGTAATAAGTCTTTAGAGGGAGTGCAGATACTCAGAGTTCAAGCAGATTTATTCCTCTTCACCTGGCCCACCAGCCATGTGGCGTGGTTTCCACAACCACTTTCCCGATGCTCTGACTGAGAGCCAAGAAGGCAGGGATGAGTTCAGAAGCCCAGAGGCACTGCCTTCTGGTCCTGGCTGTGACTGCACCAGACCCTGCGGTCGGCATAGAACTGTCTGGCTGACTCACACAGCCCTATGCTGCTGGGCAGCACAGATGCTCACACCTGAAAAACGGGGAGCGGGTGGGGGGAGACACAAGAGCTGGCGAGAGAAATAGTCTAAAATAATATTGTAAATTACACTTAGATACATTTCATGATTTCTTGATTCAAGAAAGTGAAATTGGTTTCCATAGTTGGCTACTGTAAAATGTGGCACACAGATATTTCTAGGACACATTTCTGTAGATTTTAAATACTTCTGCACAAACATGAATGAACAAGTAACCAGGAATGCTGGCCACTGAAATTCACTTCTAATATCGAAACAGAACAATAGACTGCCATGAATGTTTTTAAAGTTTTAAATCATCAGATATTTACAAGTTAAGATATAGTTGTATAAAAGGTGGGGGTGGTGGTGTCATTTTCAACTGTATGTGCTGCTCTCGCTCAGGCTCCGGTGATGAGAGTAGCTCCCGTCACTGTCACTGTCAGAGCCGTAAGACCTACAACAAAACAGAGAACCTGTTTACTCAGTGCCCCGCTGCAGTCCTGATATGAGAAGCTGGCCCACACTATTGCTGTGGCATGACGCAGTGGGTGGGCAGGTGGGGCACGGTATGTGGTGACCCTATCAGCTTTTCAAAGATGTTTGAAATAACGAATGGCAGTGATATATCAACCTTAGGATAAAAGACTGAACCACCTCATCTTGAGACGTGGTCTGAAATGCACTCACGCAGAGAAAAATCACTCTCCCTTCTATGTTAGTGTTGACGCTTGCTTGGCCTGCATGAGGGAGGAAGGAAGGAAGGGGCAAAGAGACTGGGCAGGCTCCTTCTGGAAAGGGTTGGGCATGGACTGGGCCACAGAGACAGGGAGAGTCACAAGAAGCTGGTCGTGGTCGCACCATGCAGTGATTCTGAAACATATTCACGAAGAGCCAATCGTTTTCTAGAGGCCGTGGGCACACACACACCAAAACACAGGACAGCTCCCAGGACTCAGGACAGCGCAGAAGAGAGAGACAGACGAGGATAGTTAGGAGAGACCTGGGTGGAGGGGCTGCACCAGGGATAGTGGGCTGCTGTGGAGATACCACTAGGTTAAGTGACATTTCGGAAAGTCACAATAAAACCTTTTGTAGCAATACCCAACTCCACCCAGATACACAAGCACGTCTGACTAAATAGCTGAAAAGTCCACCTCAATCCTGGGTCGGAGACACGTGATGATAACATTTTACATTGGCTCTGCTGTGTCCAACAGCAAGCCCTCCATAAAGAAATGGGCCGTGGCTTGGTGGGCTTCTCTCTTTACCTCTTCCAAAAGAAATGTCTGTCCAAGAATGTACAACTATTTAAAGACATATTTCAGATGATCATCAACAAGCACTGCCCAGCAACCCTCAGTGCAAAGACCACTCTCAGGAGCAGCCTCGGGGTCACCGACCTTCAACAAGAGCAGGAAGGACCCCGCCGCCACCGGCCATGCGCTTCCTTCAAGGAGCTGCTCTCCCCCCACCCTACCCCAGCACCCTCAGAGACTCACCTGGACCTCCGGCGATAGCGGTGGTGGTGGTGGTGGCGGCGGCGGTGGCGGTGGCCTCCTCGTGGGTAGCTGTCGCTCCTCTGGCTCCAACTCCGGCTCCGGCTCCGGCTGCAGTAGCTGTCGTAGGTGTAGGACCTACTGTAACACAACAGCAAACACTCACTTCTGTCCCACACTTGGACGTCCCCATCCCTTGCTGGGATCTCGAGCATGTTCCAGCTTAGAACAGGGGCACGGTGAGGTAGCATTTGCCTAACGAAAACTGGAAATATTTACCGTATAAGCCAAGTTTTTTTCAGCACATTTTAATACAGTCTTTGTGGTAAAATTAGGTCCCTCGGTGGATATTCGGGTCGGCTTATACTCAAGTACATAAGGTAACTGTTCCGAATCAGATACCACATTAAACAGGAAAATGTTCATTGCTTTCTGCATTGCAAAAATATCACACTAATTCACACTGAGTTAGTTTGGCTGGGTTCGTGGACAAAATTATGCCATTACAATGCGATAAACTGTCACTTTTGACATTTGAGTAGCCCCAACAGAATTAGTCACAAAGATCTCATTTCATGAAACAAAGAGTTATGTTCAAGTCATTTAATAAGAAGGAACACAAAACAGCTTACTGAACAAATCTTTCAATTCTGCCCCCATGGGTGGCAGGCAACCCAAGGCCTGTGCATACCTGGACCGACTGTGGGGGTACGAGCTGCTCCGGGACCGGCTCCTGCTGGAGGTCCTAGGATCAACCACACAAAAGCCCATCATCCTGAGACCCACGGGAAGCAAAACTCAAGACAGGGATTTGCCCTTACAAGTAAAATCCACCACCTAGATTTACTGTGCTGCCCAATCCCACAGGTCCTGGCCTCTTTAGTATTAGACTTCATGGGAAGAGTCCCTTTGCTACAATTCTTTGAGGCACACAGTGGCTGGGGAGGTTCGGCCCTGGCTGGAGGAGGGCAGGGCAGGGCAGACACTTGTCAGGAAGCTGAGGCTGTGGCAGTAGACACCTCAGGGGTCAAGGAGGATGAATTAGAAACCTGACCACTTCTTGCCCCACTTCTGCCTTTTGGTCAACCCTCTCTTTAGATGTTCTTGTCACAATCTCTAAGTCAAGTGAAGTTAGGTTAAGGAAGATGTACAGCTTCTCTTGCAGACTATGATAGGACTACATCCTAGGAATAGCCAGGGAAAGTCCCAGGCTGTCTACAGAGCTCGGTGAGAACGCAGGCCAGGCCGGGTGGGCCGCAGGCTCACCTGCGGCTTTTGTAACTGCGGTAGGAACTGCTCGGACTCCGTGTGCGGCCTCTGCTGTGCCGTCCTCTGCTCCGGCTTCTCGAGTAGCTTCTTGATCTATGAAAACAGTTGAGGTAGGGGAGAATTTACTAACATGCCGAGCAGTAAGTCTGACAGTGGGGGCTCCTGGGGCACTCCCAAATGAACCAGCAGGGCCCCAACCCAACAGGCAGAAATGAGAGGAGCCAGGAAGGGATGGTGCAGGTATGCTGCCGGGCAAAAAGAAGTCATGACTCTTACTGAAGGTAAAGTTCAAGTGATGAAAATCAGGCAGGAATAGGAGTAATCAAGAGACTGAGGTAAAACTAGTAAATGCAGAAGAGAGATAAAAATAACTCCCTATCGTCATCACCATTTTACTTTCAAATTCCCATTCTCTGTACCAGGAGCCAGCAGTATGTGCTGAGGACAAGTGTGACATGTTCCCTGGGCCACACTCCTGACCCGCCACAACACAGATGGCCATTGGTGCCATTTTCTTTCCCCTAAGAAAGACCCACCAGACGCACATATCTAGCAGGGAGCCCATGTAAGACTGAGGGAGGATTAAGGCCCAGGTCCCACTCCTGCTGAAGTTCACCTCAGCTCCCCAATAGAGGGCACAGCCTCCTCTAGCCCGCAGACAGGGTGGGACCTGGCCACCTGTCCTGGTAGGCCGGCCCTACTGCTGGAGCTCGAGTTGAGCTGGTTATATTCCCAGAACATCCCTCTTCCCAGGTCCGGAAGTTACTCCCTGGTCACACAGAATAGGACTGCGGACCCTCCAAGTATTTGGAAATGGTGATCCTGTGCCTTGCACGGATATCCTTCCCTAAGAACAGACGTTAACCCAACTCTGTGGGGACTAATGGGGATGTGCTCACCGGTACGACGACGTGGAACTTAGGGACCGACTTCTTGAGTGACTGTAGGAGACAGACCTTGTTCGGTGTCTTGATTTGGTTTCAGATTTACTCCGAGATCGACTTGGACTCCGAGACTGGCTATCGCCATCCCGACTAGGCGTCTGCTCATCACTGGAACTCTCCTCGTGATTCCGCGGCCTCTGATTTAAGCGTGCCGTCTTTCTCACCTCGTCAAAGAGAGATCCAGGCCGGACCTTGCTTTTGCTCTTAATTTCTATCCTCAAGCCCTGCGGTTTGGTTTCAGGCACAGAGGTCGGCCCCTTAACCCCCACCTCGCTGGAGGCGGTCATTGCGGGTGAGGCTAGGTGGCCCACACCTTGCAGGGGCTTCCACTTGGTGTCCACCGGCACCTCCCACTGGACAGCGCCTTCTCCGGCACTTGCCACGCTGGCAGTGCCACTGTCCTGCTGCCCCACTTCCCCCACAGCTATGCTTTCCGGTTTCACCCGCTGCAGCTCAGGCTGCTCCAGTGGTGGCCCGTCCTGCTGCAGGGCAATGCTGGCATCCAGGGTGGGGAACTGTGACTGGCTGGGAGGGGATGCCGCCTCTACTTTGGTGGGGGGGCTCCGCTCCGGAGTGCAAATCTCCATGTTATCATCAACTGGAAGCACGTCATCCGCTCCGCAGGGGGCGCTCTCTTCAGCGTGCCGGGGGCATGGGGGTGAGCTGGCCGCGTTCTCCTGAGCATGGGCACCGGCCTCTTCCGTGTGCTGCTCGGAATCAGAGGGCGCGGTAGCTGCGTGCTGTTCCAGCGCAGCAGGGCCATCTGCACGGGGCTTCTCTGGTTGCTCAGCGCGATCTTGCAGGGCGTCACCATTTTGTGCAGCTGGCTGCTTCTCTTTGGATTCCTGGGTATCTCGCTTTTCGGGGACTTCCTCCTCCTCCTCCTCCCCAAATTCGAGCGGAGGCTGCCAGTGGAAGGCTTGCTTTCGTTTGGGAGCCTTGTGCTTTCTGTCTTTTCTCCCTTTCAGCTTCTCTTTCATCTTTTTGGCATGCTGCTCCTTTTTAAGACTTCCCTTGGAGCCGTGTCTGTGCTTCTGGGGCCGTCCTCGGTTGGTTTCTGAAAGCGAGCGGGACCCCCCGGAACCTGAGGGCGAGAGCGAGGGTCGCAGCTTGCTGGGTTTCCAGACCCCGTTGCCAGCATGCAGTGAAGTGTGCGCAGAGGACCTGGTTGTGGGTTTGGCTTTGACGTGGGTGTCACTGAGCTCTGACTCTGACGTGGCTTCCCCTTCCTCCTTGTCCGAGGGCAGCCGTGAGTCCTTCTTAGGGTTCTTAGTTGCACCTCGTTCTGAGTTTGACTCAGAGTCCCACTTGCTCCCTGCATAATTCTTCCTTTTGGGCTTACTGACCTTTGTGAAGTGATCCGAAAGCTTCTCTTTCAAAGTTCTTTTTTTAGAATGAGGGCTTTCCCATTCAGGCTTGGATTTCTCACCCCTTCTCGCTCTCTCTTGTTTTCTAGTGACCGTGTCCGCTTGGAGTGACTTCTCTTTAGCCTGGGCTGCCCGCACGCCTGACTGTCCGCTGTCTGAAGAAGCAGCATCCAGAGACGACCTGCTTTCACTCTCCTTCCTCGGCGAGGAAGCCCTGTCTCTGCCTCTGAGGCGCTTTGTGCCACGCCTCTCTTCAGAGCCGCTGCTGTGCCTTTTGTTGGCGGCGCCACGTCTCTTTCCATTGGATCTCCGTTTCCTCCTGGCCCGCCTTCTCTCATCACTGCTAACAGAAGGGTAGGAGGATGACCTGCTGTAGCGGGACTGAGCCCTGTATTTATGTCGTGAGTGAGGTCTAGAGGACGGAGTCCTAGACCTTGAGCGCGAGCTCACTGGACTCTGTGACCGCGTGTACGATCTGGAGTAAGATCCACTCCGAGAAGATCTGCTCCTTGACCGGGGTGAGCTCTCTGAACTTCTGTCACTGTACTTTGAGTAAGCACTGCGATCGCTTTCTGAACGTCGCTCTCTCTTGTGGTAGGATGTTGAACTACCAGTCTCTTTCACACTTGCTAAGCTGTAAGTGCTTTGGGTGGGCAGCAAATGGGGTGTCTTAGCTTTCATCTCCTGGATTCGCTCATAAGACGGCTTCCAAGGCTTCTGCCCAGGCTTCCACCTCGAAGGGGGGGGACTGTCACTCAGCGGTATGACAGGAATATTTTCTGCCACCACTGGTTGGACGACGTTTTCATTTTGTGGCACCGTTACTCTTACAGGCTCTGTTTTCACAGGTTGACTTTCACTTAACTGAGAGTCTGTTCTTGGCGATTTCGATGCTGTCCTTTGGTGCCCTGATTTGGAACTAGATCTGGACTTGGATCTACTTTGAGACGGTGATGAAGATCTGGATACAGTCCTTGATCTTGAGCTTCCTCTGGAATAAGACCGGGAGCGAGTTTTCGATCTGTCGGAGTCTCTGCTGGAGTGGGTTGAGGAGCTCTGGTCATCTCTGTCAGACTTCGACCAGTCCCTCTGTGATGACGGATGCGATGACAGCGAGGAGGAACGCAATCTCTTTTCTCTTTCAAAGAAAAGCTTCATTTGTCGGGTGGAAGGCTTTGAGGATTCTCCGTCAGGTGGTGCAATGCCCTTTCTCTTCTTAGTCTGTTTATGTCTTCTGAAATGTTTCTGCTTTTTAGCCTTCTTTTTATGTTTAACCTTTTTCTCTTTTCTATGCTTCCTATGGTGCCCATCAGAGTGTCTTGCTGTACTAAGGTCTGAGTAATATCCATTATAGGACCATGATCTGGATCTCTGGGACAAGCTTCTTTCATCCCATCTGCTCGAACAGGGGTCGCTTAGCCTTAAAAACAATACATAGATAAATAAATAAATAAAAGGCATGTAATTATTGACAAGCACTGAAGACATTTGCTGGCAATACTGGAACAATGACAAAGCCTTGATACAAAATGCCAAGGCGGTGACGCTTCAAGGGCCGTAAGAGGGATGAATGAACCAGTGACTGGTGGGCTGATCATGGCCAAATCATTTCACAGATACACACTGACAGAGGCTCTGAGAAATCGGTTTATTCAAAGTTCAGTCAGGAGTTAAATGGGACACCCACTTTTAAAACCAAACCACACGATCACAAGAGCACCAATCTCGCACAGAGGTCCTGGATACTGTTGGCTCCAAAACCTCTGCCCTGGGAGTAATTTTTGAGGGGTTGTCAAACTGAGTTCCCAAAGAATTTTGTTCCTTCTCTGAAGATTCAGGATAGCTACTTGAATTTCAAGGACAGCCTCTTGCCTTTAAGAGGCTAGCATGACTGCTTTATCTCAGCCTTGCCAAAGTCACCAGACTTTCTCTGAAGGTTACAGTTCTGCTACGTTCTACAGCAATGGAGGCAGAAGCACATGAAGAGCACACACAAGGCTCTGAGATCTTTGGAGATGCCAGGCTCCCAGCTGGGCCCCTCAGCCCAGCTACATCCAAGCTTGTATCTCGATGCAGCACACCCTTTCCCACTCTCAAAAAGACAGCTCTCCCGTGAGGGCTACACGGGTCCCCAGAGAAGGGCCAGCTGCACTCCACCAGACATTCTCCTGGGTGGTGTCAGTGAGAGTGAGATGAAGGCTCTCCTCTGAGGACGCATGAGGTCTAGGAGCCACAAATGAACAGACACACAAGGTAACACCTTTCCCTATCAATTTACCCAGCAGCGAAGAAGAGACTTGGCTAGGAAAGTCTACCTCAGGTAATCTTAAAAGCTCTGGTTAGTCACCAAATAGAATAAGAACTCTCAGAGTCTTATGGTTTTGTGAGGAGAACACGATTTTTGTTTTAGTTTTTCAAAACAGCTCTCCTGAGAATGGGTCAGCCCTTTTCATTGACAGTACTATACCTTCACCAAGGAGGAGGCGGCTTCAAAAAAGCTCAGGGGAAATTCCCGGATCTTTTAATTCCATCTTTCTGTGAACATTGTGAAGCCCCTCGTGTTCTAAAATGTGGCCCCTCTGTCCACAGCCAGTGTTCTATGACAGGTCTAAAAGTCTCTGTCCCCCTCACACAGCTACAACACAGCAGACGCCGGAGAGTGCTTCTGCTCAGAGCACTTACTTATCTCCTTTGCTCCACTTCTCCCCGCTAGGTGGTCTATAGGCCCTTAACCTCTGCATTTCCTCTTTCCAGTGGGGAGGCGTTTCACTGCTGTCCTCATCATCTGATTCAGAACAGGATCTGGATTGTGGAGGTGTGTGATAGCGCTTAAAAGACAAAGATGAAAGTAACTATTTTTAAAAACGCCTCTCTATTACAGTCTGCTCTAGGATAGAGTTAGGTATAAGACCCAATCTCAGACACCACTAAAGGCAATGAGTCATACCAAAAGGATGGTCTGAAGTTCTTTCAAGTTTAAGGAATGGAAAGCATATGGGAAAGGCCGAGACTCACCTGTACCCCCACGTGAAACTTTCCTCTTCAAAGTGCTACCAGTTACTGTCATTAGCCTAGATTATTTATTCAGCATACTAAGGCTCCTTAGTACGCCGAATGCTTCACATGTCCATACCACACCTAATCACACCCACTCAAAACCAGCCATAAACAGTAACAGGATCTTCTCAAAATTGTGGAAAATATTAATAGCTCCTAGAACTGAGTTTGTATTAAATCTAAAATTAAAGCTAGGATTTTGCCTGTAGGAAAAATATATTTACTGCTAAGATAAATAATTTGAAAAAAGAAGTCTTAACACACATACAATTGTGCCCCTTCCTTTAATCTTCCGTCCAGACTTTGATACAGATGGTTTCTGATCACTTACAATGGGTGTAACATCAGGAATCTTCCTAGAAAAGATTGTGATGCAAATTAAAAATAAGCCAAAGGTAGGTAGGTTTTTTCAATATTTAAATGCCAAATTTTATCTCTTTAGAATACAAAACACTTCATCTATCCAACACTTTTGCAGTGTGGCCAAGTCCACATAAGCTAATTTTCCTAAGCAAACCCTTAAAATGCCAAACCTTTAAAGGGAGGTGGGGAAGTAACTCAACGGGTTGGACTATCTCTTTTTAGATGCTTGTCAAAATAGTAATGTTCTAAGGGAACAGAGGTTTTCCTGACTCTGATGACCAAGCATCTTTTAGAGTTTGTCTGCCTAATGCTACGATACATGGCCACTCCTCCTCATCAGTAATTGTCATCTGCTGCCTTATTTTCCAGATACTGCAAAGAGTAAATTTTTGTGATAGCTATAGCCCTCTGTGTGAGAGGTTCTTTCATATCATGGTTTGTTTACAGCTGTGATTATAAACATGATGGCTAACATTTATTGAGCTCTTATGTTAATGTGTATCTTAAAGACATTATTTCATTTAATCCTGAAACAACACTAGGAGGCAGATACTATTATGATCTCTATTTTAGAGATAACAAATTTTACAATTAGAGATTAAAATCCTTGCCCAAGTTCACAGAAAGAAGTGAAATTTAGCTAATCCCTGCTATCTGTAATCCAGGCTTTTCTAAGGTGTTAGGAATCTGGGCTTCAGTTCATGCAATGCTACTTGACCATATTATATTCTCTCAGATTGTCCATATTCACAATGTGATTTGATTTTTACAATGAAGTCAAATAAGTACTCTTGGTAGGCAATTGTTGAGGTCTCCTTCATAAAGAAAATGGTCTAACAGTTGCCTACCAAGAATACTTATCTGACTTCATTGTAAGACCTTTTAGATTACTGATCTAACTCACGTCATGATTTGATTCAAGGTTTGGCCATGAAATTGGTATTCTTAAAAGCGCACCAAATTATTCTAAGGCACAGCCAAGGTTGAGGATGAATGAACTAGACCAAGGGAGAGCCCAGTTTCTGCTGACGAGTAAACTAACGAGGACAAGCACATGTCGCCGTGGGGTTGATTCCAAGCCCATAGCAAGCCTGTAAGACAGAGAGCAACTCCCTCATAGGGTTCTGAAAGCAGATCAACAAGAGCTACTAGGTGGGTTCCAATCACCAGCCTCTCAATCAGTAGCAGAGCCCTTAGGCACTGTGCCACTTCAGCTCCTTCGAGGAAGTGCTGGTAAAACCATCACGTACTTGCGCCTGAATGAGCCGTTATGAAAGCAGGGTGAATATGGCTCCCAAACAAGTGATCAAAATCTCATGGCTTAGAATTGTTATTAGATCTGCTACCTACTACAATATATGTAATTAATAGCTAATTATCACTTAAAATAACTTTGTACAAACTATTTTCTAAGTATTGATTTAAAATCATAGAAACCTTTATTAAAAATAAAAATATGAAATGATTACTCCTTGGCAATTGCTGCTGCTTTTTAGTTTCACTTCTTTCATAAAAAGGATCACATCATTCACCTGACAGCACATCATTATCCTCTACCGTTTGATAACATAATCCTCAATGTCGTCATTGTCCACAAGCAACAAGCCCACACAGGTAAGACACAGAGAGAGCATAGGAAACCAGTCCACAAGGGAGTTGTGTAGTTTAGGGGAACCACTTATGCGTGTTATGTAAGTGTGGAACTGCTGTGATTTAAAAGTAGGTGCACGGTATTTTATTATGTGGACTTGCCATAATCCATTCAATTAGCCCCTGATAACTTTCAGTTTGTTTTGATTCCACTTCAAGCTATGCACTGAATATGTGTAGTGGTGCTTTCAATTTCTAAACCAAATTCTTAAGAGTGTAAACAGTGGGTTAAACAATATGTGTACTTTAAAATTGGATAATGCCGTACGACTTTCCCAGCATACAGTCCTTTCTACCTCTTTCGGAGTTTCGGGCGCGCCCTTCATTTCTCATCTAAGACGCTTGCCTGTCCGGCGGATAGGCACTGAGCGGCTTCACCTGCAATTTCCTGACTGCTGGTGGACTTGAGCACCTCCATCTGTTTGCTATTTGTGTTTCTTCTTTTTTAAGTTGCTTCTTCATATTCTTTGCCCATTTTTTTCTACTAGATCGATTACTGAGTGATCTGTAAGAACTTGATGCATATTAGGATTACTTTTTTTTAAAAATCTTTTTATTAGGGACTCACACAACTCTTATCACAATCCATACAAGATTGTTTACTTTTTGGTCTATGTGTTATAGGTATTTTTGTCCCGGACCTTTTGTCTTTTAAAAAATCTTGTCATGAATGTTTCAGATAGTTTTGTTATCTCTGTACTTCTTGTTTATGCCACATAGTTTTAGCAGACACTACTACCTTTATTCTCCAGTATTTCAGTGTTTGCTGCTCATGCGAATGGCATTGGTTCTTTTCCATTCCAACGAGGCACAGCTGACATAGAACAAAGCTCACGCTTTGACTATACTTTGTGCCTAGACACCTTTCTAAAATCCTTTCCAATGTTCACACCATTAGGTTCCCAGACCATCCGTCATGTTATCTTCAGAAACAGAGAATTTTGTCTATTTCCAGCACATTTTTAATAGCACAATTAACCAGAGCTGCTATCAAAAGTATTATACCCTCTTAGAACTAAAACCCACGTCCTGTTGGGCGTGTGAGCTGCAGGTGGTACCCTGTTGCTAGGCACCATGTTCTCTTTGTCTGACAGCCTCTTCTCAGCGGAGCAGTGTGGATCAAAGGGCTTCCCAGCCCTTATGAGGAGGCAACTTCTGTTCTTTTCTTTCTTTCTTTAATTGTTCCCAGGCAACTTCTTTTCCTGTTAAGACTCCAAGCTCTGCATCTACTCATCTACTCCCCACAAAAGCACTAAATTTCCTATCTTCTGAAAGCCAAATAGAGTTGATGAGTGAACTTGAAGGCTTTGAGAAAAGATCCCAGTAAAGATCAGGTTCCCAAACTATGTGGCCTACCCCCTTTAGGGGAAAAAAAAATCCTCAATCCCTCCTGCTAATGACAAATGTTTGTACTATAACCTATAACCCAGGATAAAGTGTAGGTATCTGCATTTATAGGCCCCCTGAATCATTCCAGAGACCCCAGGAGGCAGTATCACCAACTTTGAGAAACATGGCATTAACGTTTGGTTCAAAGAAAATATACCACTTTGTAATAGCTTTTAAAAATAAAACTGAATTAAGGATCTAAAATATTTAATGAACTAAATGATAAGACTTATGTAGAAACCTGATTTTGAACAGAACATTTACATAACTTTTCAGCTTTTAAAGTTAACTCTTTATCCCTATGTAATTATAATTAACATCAGCTACATTAGTGTGTCTGTTCATATAACAAATAGTTCCTTTAGTAATTCTAAACTTCAGTCTAGTACCTAAAATACATTAAATATTTTTCTAGGCCATATTTAAAGCCATATATTAGCTTTTCAAACACAGAGACGTTATCACTGGGCAAGCTAACACAACATATCCCTGATATTAAATTATATATCCCCAATCAGCTTGCAATTAATTTTGTTTTACTCAAATCTCAACACATTTTATCATTTGATTTCATCTAGAGGTCACCTAATGATCTATTCTGATAATCAAATTCACCCCTGTAATGAAAGGGCAAAGTAACAAGATTAGTTATGATATTTTTCAGACCTCCAATGAGAACTTCTTGCTTGACCAAGCTGTCCACTCCCCTTTCCCTATCCAAAACCGCAATCCTACTGCTCTCGGCTCGATTCTAACTCATGGTGACCCTGCAGAGCAGAGTAGAATTAGAACTGCTCATAGGGTTTGTTTCCAAGGTTGTCAATCTGTATGGAAGCAGACTGCCTTATCTTTGGTTCACAGAGCAGCTGGTGCAGGAACTCCCTTCACTGCTGCGCCACTGGGCTGCCTTCCCTACTTCCCAATAGGACGCAAGTCTGAAAGGCATGACCCACGTCACTCACTATGCTATCCTTCACTAGCATCTTTCAAAAAGCTCTGTATGTGAGCTGGGTTAACAAAGGAGTGTGGGGCTGCAGTGCGTTCTGAATGGGTCGAAGGACGCACCTAGTGGAAAGATGAGAACACCGAGGCAACCGCCCATCCTACTTACGGCTCCGGCTCCACAGTGACAACAGGCATGTCTCTCCTCAGCAAGAACCGGTTCTCAGGCACTGGAGGGATCTCTTCTGGGCGGACCACCGGCTTTTCCCTTTTAGCATTTGAGTCCACTGACTTTTTCTCATTGGTGCCACTCTGCTCAGAGTGACTGAGAACAAACCAAGCCACAAATTAAGAGATGTCACACTTAATTTTACATTAAAAATAGCTTATACAACCAGACAGCAAAAGTACTGACAGATTACAACAAGCCTCAGCCAAAAGGTCTGTACATCGTTTTTTTGGGCGATTTTTCAGAGAACATATCAAACTGAAAATTATCAAATGGTCCTACTCTGCTTTTCCCGGCAGCAAGAGTTTAAGGGATCATTTTCATCAGCAAATACACAATCTTTGACGTCAAATGTCTGCGGTACTCCTAGACTTGCCAGATTTCAATGTAAAGTTCCCAAAATACAATCCCTTGACAACCAAACAGGGAAATAATTAAGTTTGTAGAGTTACACAGACTTCCCCCATTCTGTGGGAAGGCCTGTCTGTCCAGTCGGACACCCCTGGGTTTCACGCTTACCAGACTGGGCTCCCGGGGTGTTTGTTCCTTGGCTCTTCCGACCCACTTATTTCCTTCCGCCTCTTTTTTGAATGCTTCACTTTGGGCCGCCTCCTATGCTTCCTCCGCCTGCTCCTCTCATGCTCAATTTCACTTTCTGAAGATGATTCTGAAGAGGACGAGGAATTGGAGGAGGAATCCGAGTCTTCCGAATGAATTGGTTTCTTCCTTTTTTTCTCAACAGCTTTTAAGAAAAATTGACAAAAATGTCGGTAATGGATTTCAGTGCCTACCTTGCAAGGTAAAAGAGGCTATCCCCAAGCGTCACAAAGCATGCATTATACACAGCCAACTGAAAACAAAATCCAGATTAGCTTTCTTTCAAGCTGAAAATACAATCAGCTGGTAAGACAGTAGAGCCCTTGCCTTTATGAAAACTATATTCTAGATGGGCCAACCAATAAGAAAACAAATCTAGAATGACCTAATATGACAAGCAGTAAATGCTAAGGCAAGAAGAAGAAAGGAAGCAGGGCAAAGGGATTTGGGAGAGCTGAGGATGTGGAAGTGGGGTACTGATATAGAATTAAAGGAAGCAAAGAAAGAAGGCATGTGGAGATCTGAGTGCAGAGCGTTCCAGGCCCTGAGATCCTGGCCTGAGTAAAGGCCAGCAAGGCTGGAAGGTGACAATGAGGGGAAAGGGGTCTGAGAGACAGCTGTGTGTATATGTCTAGAGCCGACTTCCACTTGACTGACTGAAGAAGCAGCTCTTGTAGGGGTTTGAAGCAAAAATTACATGATTTAAGATTATTCTGGTTACTGTTACGATCCACCTGTACAGCCAAGGACTTAAGTAAAGAGATAAATTAGAAGCAGGCTACCACTGAGAAGAAAAGATTAGAGAACAGGATCCGAAGCAGGGTGGATAGTTAGAAGTGGCTATTGCAGTAACTGGGTCTGATGGTTAAAGCTAAGTGTCAACCTGGCTGGGCCATCATGATTCTCAGTGGTTTGGCAGTTATGTAATGAAGTGCACTTGTAGTTAAGTAATAATGTAATTATATCCCATGATACGCTCTGTGTGATTAGCTAATCCATTGTAAGGGAACTTCTCTTGGAGATAAGGTGGCATCCAATATATATAAAGATGTTTACGTGCTTACGCTGGATACTGCATCCGGCTTGTTAATGTGATCTCCAGTTCTTGGAATTCAACAGCCTATGCAGCCTATGCCAGTAAGTGTCCTGCCACCTGAACTGATCTTGAATGTGTCCGCCCATGCTTCCAACCTAACACCTGATGCACAGACCTGGAACTCGCCAGCCTCTAAAACTGTGTGAGCCATTTCCTAGTCAGTCAGTGCGTGCGTTGTGTATTGGTGTACACACACACAACCCAGCCTAAGACACCCAGGTATGAGATAACGTGGTACGGAACTGCCCAGTACCACGGGAAGTTCGAAGAAGAGATACGATATGACAACATTTGCTGGTGAACTGGATAAAGGATGTAATCTATTGGTATCAAGGGCTACTGCTAAACCACTTGTATTAAGTTTTCCCACTACTGAAATCCAAGAGGCGTCTTTGAGTTAGTCTTTAACAATGCATCAATTTGTACACTAGCTCCCTCCACCCCAACGCAGCACTTACCATCTTTTGTTGATTTTGTGGCAATCACTCCACAGTCGATAACTCGCACATCTGCATAAGGCCGGCTTGCAGCATCGGTTTTCAGATTTTCAATTTGTTCAATTACTTCAAAACCAGAAATAACTAGTCCAAAGACAACATGCACCCTGTCACGATGTAAATGCAAAAAAAGAAAGAAGTTTTTGCATTGAAAAAATTAGTTTGATAATAGTTATGAGTAGTAATCCAAGGGCCCTGGTGGTATGAGTTTGGCTGCGATCCCAAGGTCAGCAGTTTGAAGCCACCAGATGCTCCTCCAGAGAAGGAAGAGTTGCACCCCAGGAAGCCCACAGGGGCAGTTCTACTCTGTCCTCTAGGGTTGCTATGCGCCAGCACGGCCTCGGTGGCAGCGAGTTTGAGTTTTGTGAGTAGCTATCAAGAGAACTGCTATAATAACATGCCTACAAACGTGAAAACAAAGCCAGAGTGTCACACATATGCGGCAGCTAGAAAGGAATTAGAACTTGAGATCTACTTTATACAAAACAAAAACCAGGACTCAGCTTTCTGCCTTTAACAACAATGGTTCCATACCAATTTAGGGGAAATGGTATGATTATAGTCAGACCACACTCAAAACTCTTACTCTCAGGGACACTCAAGTTTTTGTGGCTGAGAAGTGCACTCGTGGGCCCAGATCAAAGACCTCAACAGTGACATTTAAGTCAAGGGACCTCAAGGCTACTAAACCCTGTGATCCTCTGTGAAGAACCTAGCTCTAAAGGTTAGCCCAGAGATCAAAAGCGCATCCTTAAAGGTACACCCACGGTCCAATCTGTTTCCAGTAGCTCCACCCACACACTATCCCAAAGCCACAAGAATGGGGCTCTTACCCATCCAGGTGTGGTGCAGGCTTGGTGGTGCTGTGTCATACGCAACAACAACACAAGGAAGGTGGCAAAACCAGGTGTTCAAGTGAAGAGCATGTAGAGGACAAAGAGGTAAAGATAAAAGGGAAACATTAACCAGGATATACATCCAACTTCAAAATCTTAAAAACAGCAAGAGTGGTCATATTACTGATTAAAAAATCCTCAAGATTATACCAAATTACAAAATCCTATCTATTTCTTCAATATCATGAAAACTCTACATGGCCATGTATACACATATAGGTGTGTGCATTCCTGAAAGCACATGTATGTAATAGGCTTGATTTGACTTATGGCTCTAAAAACTCATTAAAATAAGTTATTCTCCAATCCAAACCATCAACAAAAATTCAAATCAAAACCCTCAAACTTAATCAAGATGATCAACAGAAATACAAAGTACCTATCCTCTGCCTTATGGAAAGAAGTGTGACCACCGCTTGCCCCTCCACCCCCACCCCGCCCCAGTGCAGTGCGTTTTCTATGGGGTATTTCTCATACTGAGTCTGTCTGCTTCTGTGAGGCAGGAAGAGGAGACAGGCTCCTGGAGCCCTCCTTGCCTCCTTTCCTTCCTTCACCCAAGGTGATGGACGCTCACAGCAACTCTGAAGATGCGCCATGGGGAAAAGCCCTTCAATCGGCAACACCTCTGACAGCCAAGTAAGCAATGATGGATAATATTAGAGACACTTCAAAATCCCTTGGCTTAGAAAATACCTAACTGGCTGCTTGTGCAGCACAAACTGTCAGAAAGTCACTCTGGGGAAGACTACATTTCCACAGATCTTCACAAGCAGCTTCCTGTGTTGAAATGAGGACCACATATCTGAGAGAAAGAAAAGGTCCTTGGATACCAGGCCTTTTCAAGGCAGTCAACTGCATTAATGTTCTCGTGGACAGCTTGTGCATTTTAAGACAATTGAAGAGACGTAGTCAGCAAAACAAGTTTAACACTCAAAACAACACTGAAAATCATTATTCTAAAAGGAATTGTAATGCTTATACTTACATGAAGAATATTCGGTCTGAAAGATTACTATAGAATTTAACTTTTAAAAATTAAAATGCTAACTTTAAATGTTTCACATTAAAAATAAATTTAAAAGTTTCAGATTTTTAAAGGAAATTTTGAGTTTTAAAACCACACATCTTCAATTGCTCTTTTAGAAGGTGGGGAATGAAATTTCAAGCCAATGTAATCAAAACAAATCAATAAAAAGAAAATCTAGGGAATAGGTGAACTACCAGTGTTTAATTAAATTTGCAAACAGAAACTACCTTGGGTAAAATATAACTTTCAAATAGAAATGTGCTTCACATAATTTAAAACTAATCGAAGCACATTAAAGATAGGAAGAACTGAATCCATAAGCAAGACAGTGGTTCCACTAGAGGCAGAGAGAGCTTTAAAAAAGGTAAATGTGTTCTACATTGTATGAGTTCGGTCTCTAGTCTGACAGAGGGAAGCAATGAATGAGCTTTATTAGATAGATAGCTCCTCCTTTCCTGATCCTTTTCCTCACAACCTTCCTAGGTCTTCTGATATTGGGAGGAATCTACAGAGTTTTCTATACCGCACAAAACCCAATTCATTTTGCCACCCTGGCCAATGGCAAAACCACTAACTACGTGGCAAACATGCAGCCTGATCATAGTGATGCAGCAACACAATACTAGATGATCTATCTGAGCATAAAATTGCCATCTTGAAGACAGACGCAGTGTGGTTGTCAATTCAAAGAAAACTTGAACAACAAACAAACAAGCCTAGTCCTTTATTACACTGGTGAAGACAATAAATGAAGTCAAGAGCAACGCTTTTCTTTCACAACCAACTTTCCATTGATCCTTTAAGGCTACATTGATGGAAATAAAAAAGCCCATTACTTGCATCTGTAATTCAAGGGCAGAAATCAAAGATTTCCTTTAACTGGCTTAATAGCAGACTAAGAATATGGAATGAAAGTATCTTAACAACAAAAGCCCAATGAAAAGCAGGCTTGCTTTACTGGTCCTGGCTAACAGCAGACGGGTGAACAGAGGACATTAAACAAATAGGATGACAACAGTGAGGAAGGGGGTTTGATATGCTTAGTCCAAGCTATTCAATTCTACTAAAATGAGCAGAGACCTCATCCCACCAACTCTGAATTGTACAAAACTTTAAAACTACACAGTGCAATGGTGACATAAACTCGGTAAATGGGGCCCTAAGAAGGCCAGACACTAACATCAAATGTGTGAGTTTTCACATGTTCATGAAGTGATACTTAAGAAACAACCACAAAGACCATTTCAAATGATAAAAGCTTTTCAGCTTGTACACAAGTTTCATTAGAAACACTGGGTTTCCAGTCCCTCCCTCTCCTGACTCACTCCAAAAATATTTGCTCAAGGGATCGTTTAAATCTTGTTAATCCTAAAAACGGAGAAGAGGTGCCACTGTTATGCCAAATAGAAAAAGGAAATCAAAATTTTATACCATGATCAAAGAAACCCTTCATCGCACACAGAAATGATGAGCCCTTCACTGAAATGAGCTCCAAAGCCACTGCATAAATGACCACCCCCGCCCACCAGATGATGTGCAGAAACTTAAAATGGGGTGGAACAAGCCACTGCAATGAAATTCTGCCCCCAGGAGTCACATGAGCAGTAAAACACACTATTCTGACATGTATCTCTGCCATACAGATCAAGCAGAAGAGCTGGATTTTTTATTTTTTCTTAACATAATTCAATGCACATAACAACAGGATTAAAGAAAAGCAAAGACAGAAAAAGAGAGAGCCTTAGAGTAATGAGACATTACCTTTGGAGCGCACGGTGTAACACTCTTTCTGTAAATTTTACACAAAAATGGCAAGAAATAAATTGTAATACACTTTTAAGACAAGACTGAATCTATGTTTTAATATCAATATAACGTTGAAATTAGTATTTTTTTCAAGTTTTATGCAAAAACAAGAAAGCTTTTTAAAATGGAGGGCTCTAAATTTTCTTTCCTACAGGCCACATATGTAGAAGTGAACCCTGCTTGAGAAATAAAGCCCTGTGCATGAAGTGGAACTCTGTTCAGAGTCTTTATTAGTTTTAGAGTGTCCTTTCACAAATCTCCAAAATTAGTCAAGACAATTAGCATCTTTGTTAACATCTTTCAGAATCACGTTTCCTGAGTACATACTTAAAACATGAATATCAGCATGCCTAAGAGCCACTGAGTAGATGTTAAAAAGAAAACCGTCAATAGAAAATATTGGGCTGAAGGATTAAAAAAACAAAACATACATAAAATTCCAGGGCTCTTTTTACTAATTCACTTCCAATAGCTAAAGAATCTTTTATACTTCTACATTTGCAACCTTTCTTTAGATCATGTATCACAACAGGTCCACAAGGGAAAATAAGCAAATGTCTGGACTGTGGTTATTAAATTGCCATTGAAAACAGTTGGTAGTTGTGAAGTCACTGCTAAGAGTTGGATAATGCTAAGCCAATAAATGCAGTAATTATAAAATAAGAAAGCAGCATAACTATAATTTGAGAGACTGTCTCAGAGAATGAAAAGGCAAGACAGGTGAAAGCATCAAAGCGTGCAGTCAAGTCCTGGCAACAATACTTTTTCATCTATCTCCTCTCTGATGACCCTGTTATAAAGAATATACAATAAGCGAATTTAACTACACTGATCCTTAAACATACGAATCATTACTCAGACACAAAACCATACAGAGTGGGTACAATTCTTTATGAAGGTTTAGGACATCCTAAAATTTTAAGTATCTAAAGAAAAGCTTGAATTTTAATATTTTTACTATAAAAAATATCGTTTCACATAATTTGTACTTTTTCAGTAAATATAAATAAAATAAAGATAACCCATTTCTAATTTAACTTTCAAAATGGAAAAATTTCCTAAACTCCTGAAGCTATCATACACCACCATGGGAAAGGCTACAAACTGTGTTGCTGTTGTTGGTGTAGTTGGTCTATGGGGTTTTGATTTTGTCATAATAGCACCGCCAGAGTCAACCTGAGTCGTGCATATCCTAGGGACAAGCAGGTGGACTCTGGGCTCCCACTGAACACTAGCCCCAATCCAAGAACAGTGAGTTCTTACAACAGCCTGGCCCTGCTTGACACTCGCCTGCATGAGGTGATCCCTGAAGATAAGGGCGCTACAGCAAAGCGTGCTGAAGAAAGCAGACTGTGCCCAGCTATCAATCGAAATAGTCTGGGATCTTATAGGCTTGTATTCAAACAAGCAGCCACTAAGCAAGGAGTCAACTAAGTCCACATGCAAGAAGCACACCAGCTTGTGATCCAATGATGACAATAACAAATATGACAAAGGGAAAAGTATGAGAGCTTAAGTTGTGAAACCCAATTTATAGAAGGCTATGGAGGACAGTGGGAGCCCAAACCCCATCTGCAGAGTATCTAGTCAGATTAAGCCTTTGGCAGATCCCCTCTAGCCACAGGCAAGGGTCTCAAACAGCTTTAATACTGGAGAGAGATCACTGTAATTTTGATTCTGTTGGATCTAATTTGATATCTGGTCAGTTGACACAACCAGAATTTGTTCCAGATGCAAGTATTTCTTCCTGGTTCCATGAGAAAAATGTCTTCCCTGGCTTTGTAAATATTGATGGCGGTCTTTTCTTTATTGCTCATTATTTGTATTTTTATCTTTATATTATTATTTTATCCTTACCACTTTATTGTTTCTGTTGGATTTTCCAAATTGTGAAGCACAGAAGTGGATGCATAGATAATAACTGATGTTAAGACTTTATAGGAGATGTAGGGGTGAGAGGGTGGGAGATAGGAAGGGTGAGGGGATTTAGGGAGCAAATAATGTATGTGGGAGGGGGGAGGGAGCACTAGAATGGAATGTGATTACACAACTCATTTTTAAAGCAATTTAACCATGAAAAAAAGAAAATAAAATGTTCTAAGATTGATTGTGGTAATGACGATACAATTCTTCTTGATATGATTGAACCATTAAATTATTAATGTAATGTGGATTACGTGCCAATCAAACTGTTAAAAAAAAAAGGCAACAAACTGCACAGAAGACTAAGATTGTGTGAAGGCAATGGAAGCTGGCTGTACTACTTCACAATGTACTGCCTGTGTTTTAAAGGTCTACCCAAACAAAAAGGCTTTCTAAAATTCAAAGTGTAACACATGCCAAACACTACTAGATACCAATGTCATCCAGGTTACTAATACAAGTCATATACACTCTAGTGTTAAAACTAGGTGCTAGAGAAGCAATTTTATATCCAGAGAACCGGCTTATGGCGAAGCTTTAAGAACATCTGTATTTACAAAACAATCTTGCAGAGTATCATGTGAAGGTGTTGCCCCCCACAAAAGGGAGGAATAAAACGCCTATGTTTCAGGTTATTTAAACCTACTGGCATTTCTTCTCTTAGAAGTTTGTGAGTAAGTGGAAGGCAGGGGTATTCCTACCCACCTCTACTTTTACTCCCTAAAATATAAGTGTGCCTTTGGCAATTCCTTGAAAACGTTTAAACCTCTCCCCAGGTCTCTTGCAGCCCTACTCTGAAATGATCAGTAACGGCTCCCACCCAAGTGAATAGCCACTTACAAGTCTGACTCTTAAGTCTCCTAGAACTTAATCAAGAACTTCTTGTCCCTCTAGTCTTACTTATGACTTTTAAAATATAGTGTTTCTTTTATAAAGTTCAACTTGACTTTTTTGTATCATCTCTTCTTACACTTTTATGATTGTGATCATGACCCATGACCATGGCCAGTGATAGGGACTGTTCTCTGCTGCCTCTGCTTACTGCATGGGTGTGACCGAGGGTCTGCATAGACCAAGAGTCAAAAGGGGCTGGGCCAGCTGCAACACCCATGGTGAGTGGGCAAACTGCACCCATGTTCTAACACCGGTTGAGGAAGAGCCCGGGCTGCCCTGATTTGGGCAAACTGGGCCCAGTACTCCTGTGCAGCACCTTTCAGTCTGACCGAAATTATAGTCAGAACTATTTCTTTTAAGCAAGATGATGTTCATACAAAAATCCACACACATATCTAGAAATAGTATTGCCCTATGTAATACTTTCCTCCTTTTGAGTCGGTATTTTCTCTCCAAAATATGATCTTTGAAGGTGGGGATAACCACAACAAACCAAACCAACCTTTCTGCTGCTGGTGAGTCGATTCAGACCCTGTAGGGCAGAACACAACTGCCAAATAGGGTTTCCAAGGTTGCAGACTGCTACACTGTGCTCCCAAAGAGCAGTTGGTGGGTTTTAACCATGACCTTTCAGTTAGTAGTGAGTCAGTGAGGTACTAACCAACATGACAAGAGGGCTCCTGAAAAGGCAGACTAAGGGCACATAGGAAGCAAAACTAAAACTAAGGCCTTCTTTGAGCCAGTTTAGAGCCCTGGCCCATACATATAGCTAATGCAAAGCTACAGAGTCTTTTTATGCACTATCTTAAAAAAAAATCTTTTTGATGTTACCTGTATGTGAAAACACTAGGTATTTAGGCCAGAATCAGTAAGCTATTATTACTAACAGCTAAAAACAAAAACTCAAATACCATCCCCACCCCAACTATTCTAATTTCTGCAATAGCTGATGCTTTTGACACTTAACTAATGCTGCTGCTGCACCTGTGGTGGCCAATTCACTTGCTACCCTATCAGTTCTTGCAGGACAATGTCTACCTGTAGACTTCACACTTAAAAAAAAATTATTTTATTAGTTGGGATTTAATATATGTATCATTCCATATTTCAATCACGTCAAGTAGAATTGTACAATTGCTACCACAATACACTTTCTTTTGCTTTATTATCTATAGAACACAAAATGTAGAGTAGATGATCTCTTCGCCCCTTTCCAGAAGACTTTATAATTCTATAGCCTTTGTTGTGGTTTCTTCCCAGATGCTGGCCTGAATTTTTTTCCTTTCAAAGGACCAAACACTAAACTCTGATTAATTTGGAAACTGTGGTCCCAGTGCTATCAATCTTTGAGAGCTACCTTCATGTGAACCACCCCTGTTCCTCAATGATGCTCTCTTCTCACATGCTTCCTGAACAGTACTCTGTTTAAAAGGAATGTTTCCTTCCCCCAAAACAAACACGAGACAGACACAATGTAACCATTACAAATAGCTTTATAGAAGAAATTCTGAATTTCATCATATGCATAATTATTCCTGCCCAAAGAAGCAGAATATATAATAGCTTTACTTTTACTAAAATGTCTGCCTTAGGGAAGGGTGGTTTTAACTGTGTAAATAATAAAGATAATGCATAAACTACAAGAATTTTGAGTTGTATTTTACAAATACCTCATACTAAATACACCGACATTACACCTTAGGTATTGCAGAATAACAAATTTATTACAATACAAATTTGCAAGGATATATTAAAGTCCTTGCTAAGCCTATAAAACAAGCTCTAGAAAGACAGTTCTTGGTGTTTTCCATCCATTTCTGGCATACTTTCCTTTTTCAGACCCCAGCACTGGGCTGCTCAGGGTGCTTTCTAAGGAATCATGCTCAGAGGTTAACACTATTACCTATGTTATACCCACAGCTGGAAGATAATCCAGCATAGTTTTCACTACTATTCGAGTCAAAACGACTGTATGACAAAAACTTTCAAAGATTTCTCTTTACTAGGCTACTAACCTGTCCTTTCTACAAAGTAATGTTTTGTTTAGGATGTAAGCAGTCCATCTTGTGAACCAGAGGAACTGTTCCTTTTAGCCAGCGTAAAGGAAGCAAGCACACAGGCACAACAGTGAAAACGAGATTAGGTCTTCAGTGTGCAAAGACCCTTGGTTACCTGCACACTGCAGCAGTAAATCGCAACCTACAGGAAGAACATTTTCTGTCCATCTTAAGTTCATAGTGATTTCAGTGTCAGCTGGACCACCTAACTGTGACATGTTAAAAATGTTACTGATGTGAAAAAGATCTCACTCAGTCTTCTTTTCCAAAACTGCCCTTTTCATGTACTACGAAGCCCCGCAGAAGGCAGCAATGGCCTCCATTTCGACACTAAGCGTTCCTAGAAAGATAAAAGCAAGTACTAAATAACATAAAAGCCAACTACTCTAAATTTTTTAAAGGGAGAATCTCATATACTAAATTATACTGAATGCATGTGGACACACTAGTTTTCTCTCTAACCTTCTGAAGAAAAACAAGGTAATCTGTATGTGATACTGGTACGTTACATATGTGCTGCAAGCAACACCAATTGCTAACTGGTAAATAAATTTCTTAATGTACTTATGAAAAAAAGGAAATCTAAAAGAAACTTTAGAGCCCTCAGATAGTAGCTTCTTGACCAATGAAACATTTGCTTATCATGTTCACAGTTCAGATAAGCTTAAAAATGGAAATACACACTCTTAACCAAGAATAAGCAGTACCTACATTATTATAAAACATGTTTTATATCATTTCTCTTAATTTGGCCCATTTTTTTGAGAACAGAAAAATAGTACAGCAAATATTCTATAGAATCAATATTGAGAAAGGAATTGTTTTAGGTCTTCCCGTTTTCCTGTGTTAACACCAAAATTATCATCATCTATTATCCTTTCCATTTTTAGGGCATTCCTAGGAACTGAATGCCCCTTATCTGAACTTTATCAGATCAGGTTGGAAATAGATTTTTTTTTCAGACTAATTTAAAATACGAGACTTTTCAAATATGAACAATTTACTCCTTTTAAGACAGGAAAGCGCCATTCATACTAATCCACTCAGAAAGATGACAAATCTCTTTTCCTGAATTAAATCATAAGTAAAACATTTCTTCATCATATATAATACAACTGTGGAGATTTACTTCTAATCAAAGCAGTACATGCCTCAGGCTGGACAATCATCTTTCCCACTGAAATCATGGGACTATAGTAAAAATAGATTTTTGAGTGGCTTTAGGTAAATATCTGATGAAACGTACGTCAAAAGACGTATACAGAATCTGCAAATGAGAAACATAAGTTTTTGGGGTAAGCTTGCACATGTAGGTAAAGGAGCTTGTCTTTAAAAAGGAATTTTAGCATTCTAAAGCTTCCAGAGTGATCATCTCTTTATAACTTGGGTGGAAATGATACCAGAATTTTGTTCATTCAATCATACATACAGAACTGAAAGAGTTTGAGTTTTTTAAATGCTTCCTTAACAGCAAATCATATTATCTCCATCTATCTCAAGACATCCTAAAATAAAGGTACCACTCTCAAATAGGGTTTTTACAGAGCAATATAGTAAGAGAAGAAAATGATCAAGCAATGATTTACTCAACCAACTGCTTTCCATGCCAGGAGTATATCTAATCCTACTTTATGAACAATTCAAAAATGCTCATCCATCTGTTCTAACCTAATATTGATAGACTGACTGAGCCCCCTCAAATTTGGTGAGAGTCAAAGCCAATTTCTTAAGATGACAAGACATTTTTACGTAACCCAGGTTATATCGTTTAAGTCCCATTCTTCTCATCCAGGATATATGCTGAATGCTAAAGTCAGCTCTCTGCTAGAGCTTACCAATGATTGTAACAATGAAAAAGGATAATTATCCAGGTTGACATGCTAGCATTGAACGTGGCTCAACGAGACCATCTTACTCATGAAAAGCGCCTCTCTGTTTAAGAGAAGCTCTTAAATGATGCCTACTCACATGAAAAACTGGGAACCATTGGTATGCTTCCCTCGATTTGCCATTGACAAAAGGAACGCTCTGTCATGTTTGAGAATAAAGTTTTCATCTGTTTGAAGAAAAAACAAATTCGTCAGTCTCCAATTATGAGCTTCTTTTAAAATGTAATGTTCACAGTAATAAACAGAAAGCAAAGGATGAAATTCCTCTTCTGGTCAGTACAGATACTTGACTGAATACATAGAAAAAAAATTAAGCTAATCAAATCACAAAAGCATAAAAAGACCAAGAAATACTAAATAAAGCCTTGAGAAAAAGAACACATATTTAATTCTTTATACAAACAGCCTTAGAACAGTCACTTTTAGTAGAAACATAGCTTAGTTCATTTACTCTATTAACTTTTGTGGATAACCAGAAAATAAATTTTTGAAAAACGTAGTGCAGCTTATTTCCTCCAAATTGCCAATTATCCTGCCTAATGTACGGTATACACAGGAGAGGTTTACCAGTCCTCTTATGTGCTTAGTTGCTATAAGAAAAATTCACTGCTTAATTATCTAGAGTTAGAGTTGAAAGTGAAAAATTACATAAATGAAGTTGTAGGTTCACGGCTAAATTAACAGAAATTTATGGAGTCCCTTGAATCAACAGGGTACCAAAATTACATAAGGAAGAAAGCGCTGTAAAAACAAACATTTAAGATACAGAGGTATCAGCCGCAGAAGCACATTCAGGTGGCCTGCAAGCATTAGCTTCTGATTGCTACACACGAATGGAGCCAGCGCAAGAGCTGTTCCCTACCGGCACGGATAAGAAAAAGTCTCCTCTCTAAGATCACTTGGAAGAAATATCTTGAAAAATAATTTAAACATCCCTTTAACACCCAACAAACAAATCTTTCTGTAGAACAAACAGAAACACAAAAATTTGGGGGGAAAAAATAACTACCTTGGGAACAGGCTTCTGAAAAAGAGTAGTAATCCATTTCCCCCCAAAAGAAATATAAAAGACTATTATAACACTGAAGTTATTAGCGTATTAAAATCTAGTTGTGTGGGACCCCACGACAAATCTCTGCAACTGACTTTTCTAAGGCTTTTTGGGGCAAGTGCAATGGTTAGAACTATGCCAAAGCTACTGGTGTAGGAATAAAAGACATCATACACTGCTAGAGAGCAAAGGAAGACATACAAACCTTTGAGAAAGGAGGGAGTACCGACTTTTATTCAAACAATCTGCTCGATTTAGGAAAAAACACAAAACACTCAACTACACTCTCTTCCCTGATGTGGAACTACTAACCCATTGGGAAAAGAAAAAAGAGATAGATGCATGGATGAAATAATAGACAGAACTTTTCCAAGTCTTCAAGCAATATAGAAATCCAGTCACAACCTGACCCAGGCTGTCCATAAGTTTATTAGGAAGGGTGCAAGGGGACAGAATTGGAATTTGTGTTACTGAGCTTTGTTCTCTTACCTTTTCATTTTGCAAAAGACCACATTCTCTATAAACAAAAGAATATGTTGACAGTTTTAGGCAGGAAGATAGGAGTTTTCATGTATATAGTTGCCTAACCTCCATGCTGAAAAGTCATGTTTAACCATAAAGTTAGCCTTAATTAATCTTGTCAATTAAAAGCTACATATTATATAATTTATCCCCAAATTCATGCAAATAAAAGTCTTTTCATGCAGCATTAGTTTCATGCAAAAAGTGAACTATAAGTACACCTCTTCTCATTACAGGTATATGATCAAGCTTGCTTTCATATCAGAACTGAAATGAAAGACCATAAAATATTAAGCCTTACCTTTAAAATATCCACCATAAATTGATTCTCCACCTTTTCCATTACCTGCAAATAATGAGCTATGATCAGCCATAATGCAAACTGTAAACATATTTTACATTAATTAAACTGGTTTCTACGGTTTCAGTTTGCTGCAGGTACTAACAACTTGTAATTGGGTCAGATAGACAAAACCTAAAGAATCCTCCATTAAAATGAGTATTAAAATGTAACACCACCAACAAAATTTAAAAAAAGCAACAACAACAAACCAGATTGTACTTTGGAATTCAAAAGGAAATGTACCAAATAGTATTACTAAAATAAATTACATAAAAACAATGTCATAGCATTTTGGTTTTTCTTAAATTCTTGGTCTACAATGTCAATTCATCCAACAACTAATCAATGATTATATACTATTTACATTGTATTTTGAGTGATACAGGGTTTACAATGAAAAATAACAAGCAGGATTCTACAAACTGATAGAAGGGGGATTAGGAACATAACTTGTAGCTCTACCTTCACTGAAGTCCCCACCCTGAATCATAAAGTTTTTAACCACACGATGGAATGTAGAACCTTTATAACATAACTTCTTCCCAGTTGTTTTCCCAAGGCCTTTCTCCCCTGGAAAAAAAAGAAATGAAGTTCAGCTAGAAACACATTATTCTACACACAAAACCATCAGACTTATCTTTTTGTTAAGTGTCTCCAGGGTGCTGGGCACGGTAAAAGACACAAAGGCAGAGTGACAATTTCCCATGCCAGCATACGTTGCCAACTAGAATATAAAAGCTAAATTATATGGTATACTCTGCATGGCACAAAGGACCAAAAGAGACTTTAAAAGCCATCTTCTTTTATTTTGGTAGTCCATTGAAGCAGGGAGTTTTGTTGTTTTGGGGTTTTCTTTTGCCCTTGAGTGGATTATGATTCATAATGACCCACAGGACAAAGCAGAACTGTCCATATGGTTCCCAAGGCTGTATCTTTATGAAAGCAGACTACCACGTCTTTCTCCTGCAGAGCAGCTAGGCTGGTAGTTTTGAACTGCCAGTAGGCATTAAGGCACTGTGCCAGAAGGGATTCTCAAGAAAGATAGAGGCAAATAAAAAAATGAAAGAATACAAGGCTGTCTGTGTACACCCAAGTACAGCTTTAAAAGAATTAACGTGCCATTGCAATTTCAAAATGATTACAATATTTTCCTTCTCATTCCCCCATCCCTTACATATTTAAAATAGAATTACATACAACAAAGACTGGTTTCATTATGTTTTGCCTCTCTAACTCCAACTCTAAATGAAATCTGGAATCCAGAATTTGTTTATAATACTGAAATTTATAAAATTCTAACAAGACAACTTTAAAAATAAGCAAACATGCTGTTAGTATATAAGCTGTAATCATACCACATTATGAATTAACATCGAACAATTAATTGTGCTCATGCAGAATTTGTATATGGATCAAGTGTCCATGGCTCAAGCAGAGAAAGGGATACTGTGTGGTTTTAAAATTGGAAAACATGTGCAGCAGGGTAGTAGCCTTTCACCTCACTTCATCTGTATGCTCAACAACTAATTCAAGAAGCTGTCTCCCACGAGTGACCGCTCTGAAAGAGATCACATTGTGAGGTCCTAGACAGAGTGGGAGAAAATGTGGAACAAAACTTAAGATAATAAAAGCCCAGGCTACACATAGAAGAAGCACACCAGCCTGTGTGACCATGAGGTGTCGAAGGGATCAGGTACCAGGCATCAAAGAACAAAACTGTATCATTTTAAATGAGGGTGAGGACAGAGTGGAGACCCAAAGCCCATCTGCAGGCAACTGGACACTGAAGGGTCGTAAGGAGGAGACGAGCCAGTCAGGGTGCAGGGTAGCAACGATGAAACATACAACTTTCCTCTACTTCTTAAATGTTTCCTCCCGCACTATCATGATCCCAATTCTACCTTACAAATCTGGCTAGACCAGAGGATGTACACTGGTACAGATAGGAACTGGAAACACAGGGAATCCAGGACAGATAATCTCTTCAGGACCAGTGGTGAGAGTGGCGATACTGGGAGGGTAGAAGGAAGGTGGAGGGAAGGTGGGGTAGAAAGGGGGAACCGATTACAAGGATCTACATAAAACCTCCTCCCTAAGGGATGGACAACAGAAAAGTGGGTGAAGGGAGACGTTGGACAGTGTTAAGATATGACAAAATAATAATTTATAAATTATCAAGGGTTCATGAGGGAGGGGGGAGCAGGGAGGGGGAAAATGAGGAGCTGATATGAAGGGTTCAAGTAGAAAGCAAATGTTTTGAGAATGATGATGGCACAAATGTACAAATGTGCTTGACACAATGGATGGATGTATGGATTGTGTTAAGAACTGTACGAGCCCCCAGTAAAATGATTTAAAAATAAATAAGTAAATAAATAATAAAAGCCCAGGCTTGCTGGTCTGACAGATTGGTGGAACCCTTGGGATATGGCCCTTAGATATTCTTTGGACCCTGCACAACAGAACTCACTCTCAAGGCTCAACGTTCAGTCACCCAATGTACCTACCAGGTGAACAACACCATCAGGGAGGTACGCCCCCTCTTTAGAATCATCAGTCACCTGGCCCCAAAGGGCAGCATCTGCCTGGGGAGAAAGCTTAGAAGGTGGGCAGGATGGGAAAGAAGTTCAAATGGAAAGGGCCGCATGGAGAAGAAGGTGGAGGATGGGTGTTAAACCAAAGGGGATGGTAATCAAGGTCACGAAACAAGATGTACATGAATTTTTGAATGGAAAGCCAATTTGCTCTGTATAATTAACCAAAATCACTGTAAAAAGCTTATAAAGAAAAAAAAAACACACCAAAAAACAAGGACGAAGCTGCAGTACATGCAGAATAAAGCATCAGGATTGGAGGAAGGCTCGTAATATGTGGCTGACACATCCTTGCTGGTTCAAAATGAAGGCAACATGACGTACTTGTCTTCAGCATGAATATGAAGGAAAATAAAATCCTTACAACTGGCCCCTGATAAATGACATAATCAACTGAAGTAAAATTGGCATTATCAACAATCTCACTCTCCTTGAATCACCAATGCCCATGCAAACAGCTCTCAAGAAATCGATAAACATGCATATTGGGCAAATCTACTGCAAAAGAGTAAAGATATCACTCTGATGACTAACATCTACTTGATCCAAGCATGGTCTTTACAATGGACTCATTATGTGTGTTAACGCTGAACAGTGAAAATGGACGCCGGAAACACCGATATAGTCAAACTGTGCTGTTGGCAGAGCAGTGTGAAGAGGCAAATATAGCTCCCCCTCGATCTCCCTGACTGACCAAGCCTGTGTACTACTGCATCGCCCAGCGCTGCATATTACCACCTTCACCGACTGGAGATGCACAAGGTGGTCAGTCGCTACTCCTCCAAAGCTGAAGACTCGAAAAGTCCCTGCAAGAAGGAAGAGCTGGCACTCAAAAAGAAAAGAGGATGGGACCAGCCCCATGGGAAATGGAGAAGCTGAAACGGACCAGGCACAGAAAGCTGAAGGTGCTAGAGGTGCCAAGTCAAGTGTGTGCCCTTTTGGTAACTGTGTGCTCCTGGGAACTGCCCAGTCTGAGACACTTTATGTAAGAAAATGCCTCTCCCTTATAGTTCTGAGAAACTTTGTCTTGGGTCCCAGGAGGAGGGATCTCTTGACACTGACACACCTAACAGCCACCTGTGCACAAACAAACCGTGGTATGTAAAACTAAAATTCACCTTTAAGTTCTCAGGTCTTCTCCCAGCTTTCAGCATAGACCTGACCTCCCACAATTGGTGCCTAGTATGTCCAATTGGTCCCTAGTATGTCAGGCAATCTGGACTTTCCAGTAATGCCGTCTCAATGGCATCCCTCACAGGAGCCGCAGCTCCTTGTCAGAATGTGGGTCTTCACATGGATAGTTCTGCCATTCTCACGGCACTTTCTGAAAGTCGGGGTGGCTCATGAAGAGGTACTAAACATGCTAAATTTGAAATATCAAAGCTCATTCTAAACTTTCCCTGTTCAGAGTATCAAAGACTTCACTGGGCTTTATGGAGGCTGAGATGGGCAGCTCATTGAAGAAGGGACTTTGAATGTTGCTGTATACAGTTGACTACTGTCTACCTGGGTCCTACAGGAAATACTATGTTTTCGAAAGGTGTCTTTAATAAAGCTGGTTACAGTTTGGCTAGGAAAAACAAAATCTGCAATGGTGGTGAAGAATACTGAACCTATCTCATGGACTGTCAGAAAACAACGCAGTGTTAAAAGAAATACAACCAGAATATTCTTTAGAAGCAAAGATAACGAGACTTTGGCTAGCTTCCTTGGGGCACGTTAAAAAAGGACCAGGTGTTTGGTAGAGGGCCTAGTGAAGAAAATAAAGGGATGACTGACGGAAATGGACCGGCAACAGACCAACAATGGATTCAGGCACATCAACCATCATGAAGAGGGCCCGTGACCAGAGACACTGCTTCTATTATACAGGAGTCCAAGCGGATTCGATTTCAAGTAACAATATGAGATATAATGTACAGATTCCATTACATAAAACAGATTCTCCCCTCCACCCCTATTTTTCTTGCTCCTCCTGTCAAGTAATGCTTTCCTGATTTCATACAGAAGCCAGTGGAAATTTATTCTTCTTAATTTGCAAAACTCATTTCAAAGCTCAGTATTTTTCTCAAGAAAATATCTAAAGGTAAAACTGGCACTCATGATTTGTCACTGGAAATAATAATTCACGTACCTGAGCAGAGGCAAAGAAAGTTTTTGCAAGTCTTTGGACAAATGTCTGAGAAGAGCTGGAACATAATACGACCAACTGAAACAAAATAACAAATAAAAAAGTCAGTAAGCTGATTAAAAGTACCACATTTTACATAATAGAAAAGTGTCTAGTACTAGTAGAAACAGAAAATTGGAAGGCTCATTTTGTAATGTATTTTTTTTTTTTTAATGTTTTTAACTTCTAGCTCAGAAGCAACAAAGCCCACAATGGAAGAAGCACACCAGCCTGTGTGACCATGAGCTGTCGAAGGGATCAGGTATCAAGCATCAAAGAGCAAAAAATCTTACTGTAAATGAGGGTGAGTGCAGAGTGGAGACTCAAAGCCCATCGGTAGGCAACTGGACACCCCCTTACTGAAGGGTTGTGGGGAGGAGATGAGCCAGTCAGGGTGCAGGGTAGCAAAGATGAAACATAACTTTCCTCTAGCTCTTAAATGCTTCCGTCCCCCCATCATGATCCCAATTCTACCTTACAAACCTGGCTAGACCAGAGGATGTACATTGGTACAGATAGCAGCTGGAAACACAGGGAATCCAGGACAGCTGACCCCTTCAGGACCAGTGGTGAGAGTGGCGATATTGGGAGGGTGGAGGGAATGTGGGGTGGAACGGGAGAACCGATTACAAGAATCTATGTATAGCCTCCTCCCTGGGGGATGGACAGCAGACAAGAGGGTAGGGGGAGATGTCAGACAGTGTAACATATGACAAAATAACAATAATTTATGAATTGTAGAGGGGAAAAATGAGGAGCTGATCTTAAGGGCTCAAGTAGAAGGCAAATGTTTTGAGAATGATGGCAACAAATGTACATATGTGCTTGACACAATGGATGTATATATGGATTGTGATAAGAATTGTACGAGGCCCTAATAAAATGATTTTAAAAAAATAATGCACATAAAAAACAATAAAGCAATGTCTAAAAAAAAAAACTTTTTAACTGGGCAATACGAAAAACAACATCACTCCTTTTACTATGGTTAGAATTCACACACAGCTACAAATGGATCCTAAATTTGTAAAACTTTGTGTTTAAAAGGGACTTTACTATTAGATTCATTTTAATACATCCCCCTAACTGAACTATTGATCTTCTTTAGAAGTATCCTGAATAGTGGTTACCAACACCAAACCCATGGCCACTGAGCCTATTCTGAATCTTAGTAACCTGCCCCAAACTTGTAAACCTTGACAAGGGCAGACAGCTTCATCTTTCTCCCACACAGTGGCTAGTGGTTAGCAGGCCAAGACCTAACCCAATGTGCCACGAGGGCTCATTTGAGTAACAGAACAATTATTATTGGATCTGCCCCAGTGATGCATACACATTGTATCCTAAAACAGCATCTGCCAGTCCTACTACATGTATGTTCCCCTACCGGGCCTTTCCAGTTCTCTCCCTTTACTCAGGATGGCTGAGCCCATTTCCTGAATTGCATCATCCATGCATGCCACTTATCATTTATATTCTAATCTCTGAGAAAGTAGAGAGAGAAAAAACTACAATGCCTCCAACGCAGAGGTATTGAGAAGAAGCAAAAGTGCAACTTCAATTTAACTAGACCAGTGATGTAGTTAGCAAACTTTTCCGTCTACGTATACTCCTTTTAACTCTTAAAATTATTGCGTTTGTGTCTACACAAGTTAGAGCTACCGATGTTTATGTACTTGATAATACAACTGACTACTGTTTCAAACACAAGATTATACCAGCATGTTTTTCATTAGCTGGGACGGTATCCCGGACCGTGTCATCTCTAGACAGCTCCACTGTACCCTTAAGAATGGGAGTGCAGAAGGCAAATGAGATCAGTATAATTACAAAAAGGCTTTGACCTTGCAGACATCACGAAAGGACCTCAAAACACAAAAAGCTGTGATTCACAATCACGTTCCTAATCCTCTTTTCCTCATATTATAGACTCCCCCCAATGACAAACATTTTATTTACTTAAAAGAATTTGTAGAACACATCAAAATTAAATGTGGGGCAAACATAAAGCATGTGTCGTCAGATAACAAAACTACTTCTGATACACCCTAACAGTGCAAGGTTTTCCTTTATTCCCGACGTCGTCAGCCACCCTTCGAGAACAAAACGATTATAACTGCGTTATAGACCTCCGTAAGCTGAAACACTGGACTGACAACTGCAAGGGTGGTAGTTCAACTCTACTAGCCACTCTGAGGGAGAAAGCTGAGGCTGTTTGCACCCAAGAAGTTTTACAGCCTCAGAACCCCTAAGTACGCAGTCACTATGAATCGACAAGATGGCAGTGATTTTAAGGGATTAAAAAGTGGGACAATGGTATTTTATGGAAAAAACTTCCCATTTCAGCACTTTGCCTTTAGCTTTAATAGAGTCAAATCTTAAGTGAACTCAGTTTTAAAAATGCCAATGACACCATTAGTTTTGAATTAGATGCCTTTGAATGAAGGAATAAACTCTAGAAAACTCATTAATAATTTAGTGGGCTTTACTAATCTTTTATCTTCCATCATTACTATAAAAATATTCTGTGTATAAAAATTCCTTCCAAGGAATTATCATTATGCCAATAAATACACTGCTTTATCATGGTAACATTAAAACCTGACACAAATTCATCTAGGCACAAGTATGTGGCTGTTAGGGCAGAAAACAGGTAGTGAAAGGCAAGAGTGATACAGATCAAGACTGGCTTCCAGACCTGAATATGTCAACTTGCAAATCATTAAAAATAACTACAACAGGAGGCAATATTGAGATTAATTGTCAAGCGTTTTTTGGGAGAAAAATGAGGCTTTCCCATCCTGTAAAGAGCTCCAGTCTTAGAAACTCACAAGGGCAGTTCTACCATGAGTCTAAACTGACTCAATAACAGTGAGTTTGGTTTGGTTAAAGCTTTTTAAACTTTTGACTATAAAAAGATGGGGGGGGGGGTGCGGAGTGGAGATCCAAAGCCCATTAGTAGGCCACTGGAGAGCCCCTTGCAGAGGGGTCTCGGGGAGGAGATGAGCCAGTCAGGGGGCGATGTAACAACGATGAGAAATACAACTTTCCTCTAGTTCCTAAAGGTTTCCTCCCCGCTCCCACTACCATGACTCGAATTCTATCTTGCAAGTCTGGCTAGACCAGAGGAGGTGCACTGGTACAGATAGGAACTGAAAAGACAGGGAATCCAGGACGGATGAGCCCTATAGGACCAGTGGTGTGAGTGGCAAAATAGGGAGGGGTAAAGGGAGAATGGGTAGGAAAGAGGGAACCGATTACATGGAACTGTTTGTGACCTCCTCCCTGGGGGACAGACAACCGAAAAGTGGATGAAGGGAGACGTCGGACAGGGCAAGATATGACAAAATACCCATTTATAAACTATCAAGGGCTCATGAGGGAGGGGGGAGCGGAGAGGGAGGGGAAAAATGAGGACCTAATGTCGGGGGTTTAAATGGAGAGAAAATGTTTTGAGAAACAATGTACAAATGCGCTTTACACAATGGATGTGTGTATGGATTGGGATAACGGTTGTATGAGCCCCTAATAAAATGTTAAAAAAAAAAAAAAAGCCAAGACATGCTTATGCTTTATTGTAAATCCTGACTTAGCCACCAGGTGGCAGAAATGAAATCAGTAGCTACCCAAATCTGGATAAATCCCCCAGTCACTTTTCAGCAGTAATGTTTTTTTTTAATTCTCAGAAAGCGCTGCACTGGAATTACAGGTTGCAACGCTGAGATACTGGACATAAAATATATAGTCGGTGGAAAAATGAGCCTTTGTTAGCGAAAATATTGTAAGAACTGCTCAGAAGACAAGAAATAGCACATAATCAAAAGCAAGAAAGGGAAAGGTAGGAACAGATCATATTGGAAGACGCAGAGGGCAAAATCCAGGAGGCATTTTAGAGACGGGAGCAGCATGTCAACAGGATTGGGCCTTACTCACACATTCTTCCCCAAGGGTCAGCAGGCCCAAGACTACAAGACACTCCCTGCCTGAGTCTCTGGAAGCTTACCTCTTAGCTGGGAATGAGGCAGAGAGAGTCCCAGGGCAGAGGAAGGGTGTGTGTTGTTGTGCTGATGAAAACCCTGTGAACACAAAGGTCCAGGCAGCGCACTATCCCATATTGAAAGGGTGGCCATATCGGATTCCAAGTAAAGCAGACCTTATTTTCCCTTCCTTTGTTGGCTCAGCATGAGCTGGGTGTACCTCGTTACCCCGCCACCAGTTTGACTGCCTGTCTTTTCCAGCCCTCTCACTGTTCATTCATTGTTCAGAGAGGGAATTCTGCCATGGGGGGGTTTTATTGTGGTTCCGTTAAGTTTTATCTGCACTTCACTGACTTGGGAGTTCTGAGGAGACTGAAGAATCTTCAGCTTTCCGGCAGCTCTGTGGTTCAACCTGACCTCTTAGGAGAAACATAAGCACCACACAGACGGTCAAGGTTTTCGCAGACATCTTTCTTACTCTGGGATGAGGTGGGGGATGACTTGATGGCAGCTAACAACAAAGTGATCTTTCTCCTCAGATCCCTATAAAACCCCTGCCAAGGCCATCCAGTTGAGGTTGGTGCTTTATTGGGATTATCCTAGCGCTAAGGAAAAAACTCCTCATGCTTATCGATAACCTGCAACATGATTTTCTTAAAATATAAGCAAAAAGACTTCATCGAAAAGGGCTGTCTTAATATGAAAGTACTTTTGTATAAAAACAAACAGACTCACTGCTATTGAGTCAATGCTGACATAGCAACCCCCTGTGGGTTCTGGGAGTAGAAAACCCTTTTTTTTTTTCTTCCCTCAGAGTTGCTGGTGGTTTTGAACTTCAAACCACGCAGATTGAAACCCAATGTGTAACAACCACTACACTACCAGAATATGAAAGTCCCTTACTTGGCTCAGTACCTATGTTCATGGTCATGCAATAAATTAAAGCAATTTGCAAAACAAAACAAAAACTAGGTCAGATGCTATGCTAGGTGCTTTACAAATTCAGGCTGCTCTGTCAGATGACAGAATTTTACGAGACAAGCATTATCAAATACTATGTAT